GCGGCCCATTGGCTATCTCCGTGTTCATTGTACAAGTTGTCGCTCTCCAGTATTCGCAACATGTTGCATGTCGACAATTGGCAGACCTACGCAAACCCGGTTTCACCACATCTAGTAAGTTGTGATATTCCTGTTAGATGCAACATGATGTGCTGAGTTGGTGGTATGTTTGTATAGATGAGTGTGCGTTGTAGTAATCATCAAGCGGTGGATAACTGGATAACTCACGGAAAACTACCTTGTCCTCATAGTGCACAAGGTAAGAACACATTCTAATTCGAATAGCGATTGAAGTCATTAGGAGAGATTTTTGTGAACCATTACGATCAGTATGTAAAAATACATTGCCAAATGATTTCAAGAGAGCTGTTCCTGGTTTCATTACCGCGTATGGTCCAGGTAACGTTCCACACTCGTCGGAACACTGAAGAGTGAAAGAGGGTCACCGTATAGTCCCGATATCTTATTTTTCGGTAATCGAACTAGATAGTCTGAGCCTCAGAATGACGAGCGGCATAAAGCCTCATTATTCTGAATGTAATGCAGAATAGAGCGATATTAGCGCTCTGTACCACCAAAGTAGAGTTATCGGAACGAATTCTGACGAACAGATCTCACTGAATAAGAATAAACAGCAATCCGAATGAAATCGACCACATTTCAGGGGCCGCTTGATGAACTATCCAGAAGGTGCTCGCTCCGTCTTCCGTTCTCAATTCAACTTGCCTCGTCATAGATCCAAGGAATTTAGATATCTTTTAGTACCGGTAATGTGTATAAATGGAAAGTTGCTCAACATTTGACTCATGCGAACCCAAATCATAGGAAACACCATAGTGTAACTAAATAATGTTGAGCTACTTAGTTCAGTTTAGTGTTAAGAGACTGAGTGACTAGACAATCTATTTTTACCGTGTCGCTGAAAGCCATTCTAATGGTAACCTTTTCTCATGCATTCTACACGTGTCGATAAACATTGTATTACGTTAATACAAGGAAGGCTACTACAATTTGAGATATTCACAGGTTTCACCAGTCCAGTTTTTCAATTTCAGATGAATCGGCGAATGGCAGATATTTCGTTCCCGTGGGCAGTATGTTTCAACACATATCCTGTCCCCATTTTTTGTTTGAGATTGCTTTGTACTTATCATTTCATTGGTTTCTTACCGCACGCTGGACTTTGTTCTCACACATCGTCCTTTTCGTCTTTATCAATCAAACATGTGCAGCCTGGATAACACACAACTGGTACCAAGAACACTTTCCCGAATGGGCAGCAATACGTTCTGCCTTGGTGCCTCATATATTTTGAATTGCATAGCGAACTGTCTTTTCACGTCTTCATTTTGTATCTTAGATTGTTCCGACAATCAAGTTATTTTTCAAGCTCTGAGTTCGCGTTCAATGTTGTATTAGCAGTCTAATTGTACTTCTGTGATACGCTGTGAACACTTGCCGGTCTTCACTTGTTCAACAACTACTTGGGTTGCATGAAATAATGGCTCATTAAACTGCGTTTCCGTACGTGTCCACTATCAGATGCGCTTATTATGGAAAAACATCGATGTTGTTCAGATGACCAAAGACGCGGATTTTTTGAATTTCGTTTTGTTGAGTTAGAGGACCTCAACGGATCGCACGAATTTCACGAATATTAAAGTGTATGTTGAACGCATTAGCCTACTTCACGCTTATATATATAAAGGTCGATAACATTTCAACCTTTTACGTGTTAGGACTCGGATCTATGCATTGTTCTAACCATTTCCACAATTTGAGACGTCTATCAAAAGCCAAACCTCGACTCGTCTGTCCAAGTGACACAGCTTCATGGTGGACAGCGCGATTATCAACCTTGTTTTTTCCCGCTCTGATTGTTGGGAGCATGTAGTTGACCTCGGCAAGATTAGAGAAGGCGTATTGTTACAGAAATACTTGAAAAAGAGCACTAGATAGTTGTTTCATTCTGTTCGGGACTTTTTAGCAATGCGTGCTTTTTGTCCTTGTCAGGATTCGAATAGCAAACTTTCAGGCTGAATTGAAACCCTTACCACTGAGCTACTCAGTTGACGATCATCACCTTGTGCGAATCAACTTAGAGCATTGTGTTTCGATAGTTCATAGGCACCAGACACTTGGTGGTCTTGGGTGTGGGTTTCACTCAACCCGAAGGTTCGCGGTGCGAGTCAAAGTTTTATTATTGGGAGTACTCACAAGCGGTTACTCTTCTTGCCCCATAGGGTTTCTCGAACAAATGGATCGACTTACGGTTCATAGAAAGATGAGGAATGTCACAAATGTTTTTTTCGTGCACTCCTACGGATGTCGAAATTTAAGACTTGACAAATTTTCATCCAGTTTGTGCGTGAAGGAATCAATCGTCGCCGCAGAAACAACGTGAGGTGGTGGAATATTCCAAATATTGCACAGTCTAAGGGAAAATGAATGATGCCGGCATTTTTGGAGCACTAATTTGAATGCCTGCCCCATGAGGTGAGTAGTGGGCGACAAGGTGAACAGTGAACGACATGGGTGATCAGAGTTCTGCATCATTTGATACACCAAAATCAAGTACCCTCGAATTCGGCGATACTGTGTGGTGTACTGCCCCGATGATTCCAGTCTTGGAATGAAGTCACTTGACCATTTTTGTGGCCGTTCTTTGCAAGATTTCCGAATCTTACGATCGTATTGCAACCACTAATTCCAGTCTTGAATGGCGCACTCGATGTGTGGTCGAATTGAGGCTGATAACAAACGTCGGAACAGCACAGGCTCTTTTTAGTAAAAGACTCATTTGAGCAAACGAACACGTTTTTAGTGTTGGGTGACTCCCTGGAGCAGTTTAAAGACACCAAGATCTTACTCATTCGAAGTATATAAAAGCTGATCTCCTAGGAAGTACGCAAACAAAGTTTAGTGGCAAGGGGATACCACCATGCATTTCGAAGCATTGAATTGATGTCATTTCCGACTGACCACTGATAACCAGCACCGATTGCCTAGTGCCAGCGATTCCTCAGGTTTTCTCAGTTTTCCATATTTTTACATTAACGTGTATGGCCGTTAGATCGTTTATGGGAACCACAAAAGTTGAAGGCAAGCACGGATCCCTGATAGGATCAGATAGTGACTCAGAATGCCTAACTGATATCGTGCGTTGTCGAAGAAATTCTTCTATCCAACCCAGCACAAGTCCCCGAATTCAATAATTGGGTACTCCGACAGCATGGTCAAGTGCCTTGGAAAAGTCGAGGTACACTACTCCACTGCATCACCGTGATGTACTACTTTCACCTTATCGGGCCAGACGTAGGTTGGGGGTAGACGGTCGCTTGCGACGAAACCCATTTTGCACGTTGGGTTTTTTTCAAGCGAGTCATCGCATTATTTGCAACAATATATTCCATGAGTTTGGATAGAGTAGAATAACGGGGCGGTAGTTAGCCAGGTCACTACGACAGACTCATTTGTATTTAGGTGAATTGACTCTTTGTTTTCACGTTTATGGGAGCACAGTTTGTTCGAACATACGGCGGAAACGTTAACGGTTGATAAGGGTTTGTGGATGGATGCTATCTATCCCCAGAGGTGAATTCCTTCTCAAACACTGCAGTTTGGATTCTGAGATTTCTGAGGACACAGTTGTGGTTGGTTGGGGGATATTGTATGTCCACGAATAATGGAGGCAGTTGTAGCCCTGTGTTGGCAGGTGCAGTCAACACTTGAGTGCATCAACTTTACCATTTCAGGTGCATCCATTTTGTGACTGAGACACTTCCTGACTATCTTAGTGCTGGAACGCCCGAATTGACTTTTCTCGAGGCATTTATATGTTTGTACAACAGCTTGAGATTCGATATAAACTTGCACACAAGCATTTCTTGGTACATTAACCTGGTGCAGTGGTTTCAACGTAGAAAATAGACATGCCATGTGTTGTTACCTTGCGAAATCCGCTCCTCTGTTCGACTGCGAATCACTCGCTTTTAACCAGTTAGTTAGTTAATGTGTTTGATCTTGATCACAGCCTTAGCAACTTCCGTGAGGCAATTCATAAATTCCAGCCGGGATACCAAGGGATCACACTGTTCGTCGGGAAAGTTCTGTTGGAAGTCCCATCAGAAGTTTGGTTTAATTAACAACCATACACGAGTTAACTGTAGAAATTTACCCTAAAGATGCGTACCAAATGTGGTCCAACATCAATACAGCATGATCACTACGGCTTAATGGGTTCGTAGTGGAAATCGTTCCCTTCATCAGTCCCCCATTAGTTAACACCCAGACCGAAGATGACTGGTTGGCTCCTTGACAGGGACACAAGTACGCTTACAAAAGCATCCAGCTGGTGGGGAAGTACCGGTCTCCCAAAGAGTAACACTTGCAACTAAGACCATCGACAGTGCCTGTGAATAATCGAACGATCCAAATGTGGTGTAGTATTGCCTAACTGGGACAGACATTGAGGTGCTTCAAACAGAACGAAGGGTAAGATGCCCTTCATGTCCACAAAACGATTTGCTGAAATTACCTTGAAGGGAACCGGTAAATATATTACAGAAATAACTGAAAATTCCATGAGCTGTTCGTTTTGATCTTAATGAACATCGAAGTTAGCTTTTTTCTCTTATAGCATCGGCCAGATTTTCGAACCGGACTGATTTTCCAAGGATAGTTACAATATAGATGGCTCGGAGAGACGTATTGTTTACCTCCTTTGTGTAACTATCAATCTTTTTGTCTCAACCAAGCAGAGTGAGGTGGTGTTTACACAAGCCGCACAATACGTTCAGATATTCGCATTCAACACAAAAACTAGTGCAGAATAAAAAATGAATTTCAACACGCCCGCTAGCACAGTGGTTTTCCCCACCTAGTGCGTATTTGCCAAGAACGAACATTGTGGTATATTTAGGCCACCTAGAAGCGAAAATGGACACTACTGAAGGAAATTTTCACGTCCTATTTTTGTGGCGGATATCAGATTTTATGGAAGGTCAGCAGAATCAATTGATAGACAGTGTCGGTAGGCATTCGGGAATTTCGCATTCGTCATTACCATACAGTTGCTTGCAACAGCCACTGACAAATGCGGTGGTGGCTATGGAAAATGCATAGAAAGCTGCCAGCTAAGAAAGGTTAATATGTCCGCTTACAGTGCACTTTTCACGCAAACTCTCCAACGCCCATAAATTGTGGTCGCCGAGAGGACCTTTAGCCATAAAGTAAGGGTTATTGAATTGCGCAAGGATAAAGTTGCCACGACGAGGGTTGCAACACCACCCAGTGTAAGGAAAATGCCAGTCCACGTGAATGTGGCGAAGACAGCATCAAAGGCATTGAAGGGAGGGGTGGGCGAGAAAATTCTGGTCTGATGCAGGGACGTCCAATAAAGTGGTAACGGAGAACCCCAACAACGTTTTCAGGAGCGAATAAATTCGCCGATCCAGCATTTGTCTAAAGGACGGCGCCAATTTCAGTGCACACGAATACAAAACTAGCCGATTTATTCTTATACAAAACAGTCACATGAAAAGAAATCCGCGTGAGATGTCAATTGTGTAATGCATGAGGATGTAGTAATCAGTCACGAAACAGAAAAATCAACATTTTGAATGAGGCCAGCAATATTAACAATGCAAATGACCTTATCACTGAAACGAGAACATGGGAATGAGTTAAATTAATTGTAAATCATTAAGGAAAGACAAAGAAATGCGGTTTTTGGCGACTGAATCAGCTGGGTTCGGCTGAATAATAGCAAACAGAAATAAATTAACAGGTGAACGATTCGCCGTGGTACAACTGTCACTTATTGGATTGCGAGTAAAAGGAGGCTTCGTTCTGTTTACACAAGTTAAACCTCTGGGAGTAGTCTGGACCGATCACCGGCTTCCGTAGAACATTGGGATAGGCTGGGAACGGAATTCCTTCTCACGTTAGGCGAGATTGGAACTCGTAGATGAGATTCCGCATTGAGCGGGAACTGCCGCTCCAGTGGATGAACAGGATCTTTAGCATCTTTTAAGTATATAGCTCGTTCTTGCAAACATCGTAGGAGTTTCGGGAGCTCCGAATTCAGAGCTCTGTCAATGAATCGTTGTGGGATGAACAACTGAAAGAGAGAATGATTGGATTAATTAACCATCGGTTTTGGTTATCGCTCCTGTATACCGCTTCATGTTTTAATTAGCGTAGCGCGCTGCGTAGGCTCTTAGACGAGATTCGACGGNAAGCGCTAATAAACTCCAGTGCTATAAGCCATCAATCAACGCGGAATTTATCTTCCGACATTTTCAGAGTTCTCAG